CTGGCTAAGACACACTTCCTATGCTTCCGAGAAAGCCTCAACAGGACCGGGTCTCGACCACGCAGCCGGGTCAAAGTAGGTACATGGCTCCCCAGTGGAGGCATTGTGAAACAACATCAATATTCGGTTTCGGTTATTCGTGTGATCTATCTTGTGCCGGTTTCGGAAAGCACACAGCGTCTCCATCAACTCTATCTGTCGAGTAACCACCTAGTCATTGGTTGCGACTTGATCAAAACAATTTGGAATGTCCAAAGTACCTAGTGGGTGTCTGACAGCATTAAATCTGCTGCCAAAGTACTCGCTAGGGACATTGACACTTCTGGACGAGGTTCGTTGGATGGGTTCTGACATTCAACAAATTTTGCCTCAAGGCCGCGGATTGCTCGTGTACATTATTCCTCAGAGGCGTCCAGCTGTTAATGTTACACTGGCACGGTGATTCACGAACGGACCCGATGGCCGCGACTGGTGGAAAGAAATGTATTCGAAGATTTTGGTGCTATCTGACTGCTCGGTGACAGAATGCTGGAGGCTAGTTCGCACCAACAACTCATGGCTATGTCCTCTCCCGGCCTGCAGTGCCTAATCACAACATCACGGAAGATGAGAACCAGAATCATTGCCCGCAAACTCAGAACATATTGCTAGCAGTGCGGGCTGGGCGTTGTTCACGGTGTCGTGGTGTGCATTGTGTTGACCTCGGTTGGTCTTGTGTCCTCATATCGAAGATGCCCTTGCTCGAACGTATCTTTGTTCTGTGTTGCAACGAGCCTAACCAGCAGGACCTCCCCATCTAATATTGCAACTTGATTCCCCAGCCAAACGATATGAGATGAATAAGAGCAGGGCCACCAACATCACCACCGCCGGTACTGCTGGTCCTACTTCCACCAGAACCACGAAACTAACCCTCTCAACTCACTGATCATCTACCCAGACCATATTTAGCGTATCGGTCTGGGGACAGCACCGCCCTGCGAGCCCATCTTTTCCACTATACGCACAACACGACATTATCGAGAGGGTAAGTCTCAACACATATACGAACACATTGAATTCTTCATCAAGTCTTCTCAAAGACCTTCCCATCTTCAACGAAACAGCGTTGAAATCGAGCGTTGAGGGTACAAAATCTCCGACCTCAGTGCAATGCAGCTTCGAAGGGACCGGAAATACAAGACGACCACCATCACTCTTAGAACGGTTCGCCTAACAATGCGTAAAGAAAGCCGAAAGAACCACGGTTTAATTATCAAGATGTCACTGAATCGCAAAACTCATTGAAGCCCAGGCACTCTTCAGATCGCATAACTCGTAGAAGATGCCATCTCCTCCCTTGCCCTGCCTGGATCGCTTGGACTCGGTGCCTGTGCCTGTGCCTGTCTCGAACTGACTGCTTGAGGAGCACTTGCTCTCAATACTAAGCATCTTCTGATTAATATGAATAAATAGTGCTGATGTCGATGTCGATGTTGGCAATGTACCTATCACCACTATGAATATACCGGTCATGTCTAGGGTGCTGTGCCTGGCCAATCGTCACGAATGGCGGGTGCTTTTCTTTTGCAGCCAACAACTCCCGGTGCCCATGACCACTGAGCGTGGCCTCTCCAGACAGTTCTCGCAGTAGAAGTAACACGATGCCTCCCTCATGGCTCACAATCATCTCGTAAAAAGACTTTATCCGTCCACCACCCACATACCATATCATGTTCACTTGATTCCTCTTCCCACAAGTCCGTTGGTGGCTTCTCCTTTGTGAAGTTTCTTCCTATCACCAGGACAGTACCATTTCACCGTCCGAGGTGGCAACTCCACCAGAGATACACATTCCATGTGAAACCATTGGCCAAAGTCACACTAGATGGACAGCAACAAGTTAGCAGACTTATTCGAGACAGATGATTAACAAGTCAAAACAAAAAAAAAGAGCGCATGCATTGTGGGGTGCAAAGGAGGGTGAACATGCCTTCTCGTCCAACTCACAACAAATCATCTCGCCCCAGCTGACATCGCCGCAGAGACAATACCGCTCCTCGTCTGGATCCACGATTTCTTGCTTTCCATCAACGTCGATCCTGATCTGTGGGATTTGGGCAGTGGACGATGCTTTCTTGGCTGGCTTCGTTTTGCGCTTGCTCACGCTCACAGCAGCGCCTCCATCTTGACTCGACTGCGTTACCATTCCCGGCGCATCTCTCTTGCTTCGATGGCTCGCGGCCGTAGGAACTGCCATGATGGCTTTCGGACTCGGTCCTGATGCTTCCCTCTCGGCGGATGTCTTCTGGCCTCCAGCGAGAGAAGGTGTCATGGAGGCCCGTCGGCTGGATCTCGTAGTAGGCACTTGTGGCTCCACGGACGCCGCGGCGGAGCGCCGTGATGGTGGTCGAGAGGAAGTCGTCGTCGATGCTGGTGGTGTACCCTCTGGTTTGGGTGCGACCGAAGTGCGCTGAACACTGGCCGCACGCGTCGCTGGCGCAGGAGTCGGCGTTTTGCTTGCACTGGCAGAAGTCACTCCCGGTGGTGGAGCTGCAGCTGCAGCTGCCACGTTAAGTATCAGTGGAATCTTGACGGTTGCTATACTGATCGAAGGAGGAGGTTCGCTGCTGGTGGCGGCAGGTGATGTAGGGGCTACGCCTGGGATGGGACTCGCCGCTAGAGGCGACGGCTTAGGCGCAATTTTCTGCTTTTTTCTTGCGGCTTCAGGCTCCGCTGATGGGGAGACCGATGCAGTGGGTGTATCATCCGCTTTTCTCTTCTTGGACGTCTTTTCTGTAACCTTCTTCACAGTCGTAGGCGGCCGATTAGAGACTGGAGTACTGGCACTTCGGCTCAACGATGCCAGGGCTGAAGTAAAGGGAGTCGTGAACAGAGTGCGAAACTTGGAGCCAATGTCCCCGAGTCTTCGAGCAGCGAGTTCAGCCTCTTGCGCAGCAAGTGCTGCCTGTGACCGCGCAGGATCAGGTTTCTTCTCCTTCTTTTCGGTTTTCTTCAACGGTTTTGTTTTCGGAATAGGTGTCCCCCCTGCCGGGGCGACAGAGTCTTCAGGCTTCTCCAAAACCTCGGGCGCTTGTGCTGAGACCTCCACCACCTCCTCAACCTTCCCCACTATCTCTGATGTGTCTGGCTTCTCTACGCTTTCGACCTGATCAAGGTTCTCGGGCTTGTCAGGTCTCTCAGCTTTTGGGGTCAACTTTTCGATGCTATCGATGTCGATGAACCTTGTGCCATTCGCTTGAGCTTCAGCCTTTGCCCGGTAGTAATTGTCCCAACCCCTACCACGGTCTGCCAACTCGCGTCTGATCATAATATCGCTGGGCTCCCAGGCATGGTTTTTCTTCATCTTCTTTCGAAGTCTGTACATCTCGTACTCAGTCAGGTGGGTCCACGGCCTCCATTTGCTTCCAATCTCAGCATCCTCAGGTGGAGGAGTAGGCTTGTGATAAGGCTCAGTTGCTTCTCGAGATTCGCGCGTCTTCTCTTCAAGTGGCGGGGGCTTCTGTTTCGGGGGTTTTGAAGGCGCCGGTGGCTTAGGTTGTTTGAGCTTCAAGACGGGGCGTGGAGGCGAAGGTGGTGGTGATTCCCAGTCCGAGACTTCTGTGCTTGCGATGGGCGAATCGGGATCGTAAGGTGGCATGACATCTCCTGGAACCGTGATACGGCGGCCACGGGGTCTTTTGAGGATGGCAGAGGCGACAGCATTGCCCCGAGGTGGATGTAGGGTTAGCCTCGTAGACGCACTATTCTCGATCTTCCTCCCGCTCCGGGACCGCTTGACTTGCGTTGAGGGGGTCGGCTGAGGGGTTGGATCCCGCGATGGAGGCTTTGGTATGGCATTTAGTTTTGCGATGATGCTTTTCAATCTGTTCTGATGTCGGTCCACAACGTCCAACAGACGGCAGGCCTCTGCATATGTGGATTCCCGCGCGTTCAGCGCTTTGTCCAGACTCGCGGATATCTGAGCACGGAGTTCCTGTGCATTTGGACGAGCGGGGCGCGCAAGGCTAGGAAGAGAGCCATATAGCTTGGTACGGTCGTTGAGTACTGAGGCACTGTTTAAATAAGTGTCATCGAGGCCGCGGATAAGAGTCAGGGAGCGAATGAGATCGGAGGGGAGATATTCAGTATAGTCGAGGAAGTCTGTCACGGCAGCCTGCGCATCGGGGTCGACAGCGCGGTCGCTAGCAATCTCTTCCATCGTCGGCATCGAGGCCAGGTGAATTGTTATTGTAGCCGGCGCATCGAAGAGAGGAATTGGGTTGTAGAGACGTTGGGTTGGTTCTTTGTTGCGGTCGCAGAGGGGGTCACAATATCAAGTCATCTCCTATGTAATCCTGAGGAACGATATTGCGTTGTGGCGTAAAAGGGATAGATGCGGTTGCAGCTTGTCTGGTTTGTTGGTCACCGTGTGTACACATCCCACCCAGTGCTGCCGCAGTCGAACGCGCATGTAAGATGAGTTGCCATCGCGGCAAAGGCGGTGAGGGACGGCAATATCTTGATCTTGTCACGTGGGTGATCATTTCCGCCCGCAGATTGCATTTCACTCTCAGCCTCGTTCTCAACTCTTTCTGTGTCCTTTGACTTGATTGTTTCTGTTCCCTCCAATAGGTGAACGAAATCAAAGGTGCAGCAAGACAAGAAAATCTCTCGATGTGAGCGATGATGATATGAACCTCTTTCACTTTCCTCAAAACTTTAGGACCGACTTTCCCAAGTCAATCATGGTTTGCTCAGTTTTCCTTTTCACTTCAACCTCTGTTTTCCAACTTCTTTTTGCTTAGACTTCCCCCTGCAATTCTCCCCTTCCTCTGTACCCTGCGCATACGACTACTCATGCTCCAGAATCATCTTCCCCGAGAATCGTTGAACTCAAGGGTAATCCGTCGATCAACACCACTTCATCGAACCCACGTTCCACCCCACCAGGACACCGTCTCATCACCTTCTGTGTCCAATCTTCTACACGACTAAACTATCAGAAAGGCCAAGACACAATGGCAAGCACCACCCCTCAGGAGCGATTGAACAAGTTGTTCTCCAACCAAGCGCTCCCAACAGCTCCAACTCCCGGTCAACCTCACTTCTCGGAAAAAGAGCTTGAGCAAAGAGCAGTAAAAGAGCAACGGCCTTGGAGTGTTCCTGAAACTGCTCAATATCCAAGAGATACCAAACCACTCAAAGAGCAACAGCCTCAAAGAGACATCGTTATTCTTACCAGCTCGGACGATGATGACGACTATGTCTCTTCGTTCAAAAAGAAGCCTTCTATGAAATCCTTCCTGAAGCCACCTCAGCCGAGATCAAGCGTCATTCATGCAAACAATGCGAGTACAAGCCTCAAGGATCCTGTCCTCGATCCCGAGGAGACTGTTCAGTATATTGCTCACGGCAAGCGCTCTGAGCGGATTTCCTCCAAACGCGTGACAGAGCGTTCTGATTCAGACAACAAGGAGCTGCCGACAACAGACAAGAGAGGAAATCCGGTCGCCGGACACTTCTGCCAGTTCCACCTTGCGGCCAAATTCCCATACAAATACATGAATGATGTCAATGATCGTGTTTCACGCCACTTCTTCGCATCCAATAAATTCTACAACCGAACCTGGGACCTGTAAGTTCTTTATATTCTCGGTGTTTCCGCACTTTCTCAGGGCTACATGTGCAAGCGATCGCTACGTTTATTGCTAACGCCTCAGCCAGCTACTACCTGCATCCGCCAGCCAGCTTGACAGCGAAAGCGATCATCCTCGTTCCCTTTGAACAGGTCCACGAGCTCATTGCAGAGATTGGAAAAACATTCAAAATCCCCGTGTCAGTGCCACCATTTCCGTTTACTTTCACATTTTTTGAGGACGGAACCCCGAAACCTCAATATTTGGGCCAGGCACACTCCAAGGATGAAGCACAAGAAATGCAGAACAGTGTTCCAACCGCTACTCCCGGCCACGGTGAATGCCCACATAATGCCTTATCTGAAAGCAGACAGCGCTTTGAAAATTTCAAGCACGATTGTCAAGCTGCCATCTTGGCGGCCGGTAAGACTAAAGGTGGACGGGGCAAAAAGAAGGTAGAATACGATCGGTTGACAGCGATAAGAGACTGGTATGTGCAATTGAGAAGAGCTCAGCGATATTTGGGTCTCCGCCGGAAGACTAGGCAGGTTCTCCCTCCGAATCTTAGCATGACATGGGAAGAACAAGAACAATTCCGTCTTCAGCAATTGAAGAGCGCTCATGTTACCTTGGACCCGCTCGACCTGAGTGCGCCGGCTCCATATGCTTTTGAAGAAGAAACCGTTTTCATTGCGGTTGATATCGAGTCACATGAAAGAGCCCATAACCTTATCACCGAAATCGGAATCAGCACTCTGGACACCCTCGACCTGGTAAATGTGCCTCCAGGACCAAGAGGCAGGAACTGGACAGACCAAATCCGTTCTCGACATTTCAGAATTCGTGGCAGGGAGCACTTGGTCAATAAAGACTTTTGTCGTGGAGATCCAAACTCCTTCCAATTTGGCAGATCTGAATGGGTCGAGCTCGAAGATGCTACCACCAAGGTGGACAGCTGCTTTGAGTGGCCTTTCTCCGTGGATTTCAAGCACCCCAGCCTGATCGATACTTGGAGTGTGGAGCCAGTCAATCATGCAAAGGGGGACGAAGCGTCCCAAGCAACTTCTACTAATCTCGGAGGCACCAGCTTGGGTCTGGTCAATATTGAACAAGAGGCCGCGAATAGAGCAGCTGTCACCAGCGTTCTGACGGGCATTGGCGATCAGGAAGCCATCAAGCATGCTATCGCACTTGCCAAAACAAATCAATCAGGAACAGACGCTCTCCAGAACAGACCAAAACGGCGCAAGATTATTTTGGTTGGGCATAGTATTGGAACGGATGTCGCGTATCTAAGAGACCTCGGATCCAAAATCTTTACGTCGTCACGGGCCACCTATCCCATTGCCGCCATGGAGATTATGGCCAAAGGAGAGCATTATTCCGAGACGCTGGCCTCAATCATCGATTCACTTGACACGGCACCATTATTTCGGATCTTGAAGGAAGAAACCCAGAACCGCAACCTTGCTTCAATCATGGGAGATTTAGGTCTCCCATGCTACTTCCTTCACAATGCCGGGAACGATGCACGATATACACTGGAAGCGCTAGTAGCAATGCTGATTGAGGCACGATTGAAAGGTGACCAGGAGCAAAAGAAAGATGAGGAAGCAGGAAAGCGGCAGAAACCAGGGGACGATGAGTCCGGAAAGTATGCCAAGTCAGCAGGGCCATCCAGTCTAGATGGGAGCCAGCAACAGATAGAAGAACTGGATGCTTTTGAGGCTGCAGTCCTGGCGTCATCTGGGGATGAAGCATCTCCTCGACATCAGAGAGATGAGGCTATTGCTGCAATTACGGAAAGATTGAAGCTGGACCCGACCGTCGATGAAGAAGAACCGAGGCGCCCATTCTGCTAGGCATGACGTGTGAAAGGAAGGGCTGTCAAGTGATCATGGGGCTTGAGGTCAGGTTTTGTTTGTTTCAACATACCCATTCTCTCTTTTCCGGCGTTGTTCGTGGGGACTGGAGGGGAGACGCGGGTGACTGCTGGCATGCCACCAGATTCACGTATGGCGGGAGGGCGAGCACGACGCATTGAGGCTGATATCCAGATTATGCAGAGCCCAATCACGACCAAGGTCTTGCTGGTGCACAAGGTGGAAGAAGACGAAGAGAGTTGGCAGCGGCCGCTATTGGGTTCAAAGAGACTGGAGGGTGATTTCTTCTTTTGCTGTGGAGAGGACTCTAGCGACCACCGCATATTTGGGCTGTGTTGTGCTGAAAATAGAGACACAGGCACATTTCGTCTCAAGCAATTGAGGCTCTGATGAATCCCTTTTCAGAGGCCTGGACCTCGCTCGATCTTCATGCGCACGAGTAAGTGGTCCTGCTCCTGTCGTTCTCGAAAATGGTATACAGACAACGCCATCCCATGCCATGTAATACCGGAAACCCAAATGCTTGTAACATATTTTGTACAGCCAGCTCACCAACTCGCTTTCTTGACGCCCGGTATAGCCCCTTCCAGCGCATTCATCCTGAATTGGAACTGCAAAGTAACAGAACAGTTAGTACAAAATTCCCAGCCGTTTCTAAATGACTCGTTCATCGTAGATATTTAAGGGCCACATAACCCCCCTCTCGCTTCTCCGAGCGAGACATTTATTGGACTTACCCTGCCCATCCTGAACTTCCTCAGCACACTCCTAGCCACGCCACCCATTATACACCTGTTCTTGATCTGCGTGGGCCGCGTGTAGCAGTGCATGTTTCTCAGTTCGAATTGCGCCTTTGTTCGCACCCAGTCTGGGAGGGATGTGTTCCGGACAAGGTATCGGAGCGCTTGCCTAGATCGTTGCATTTTGTGTCAGTTCCATGGGATTGAGAAGTTCATGCGGGTGGCTCAGAGGGCAGGCATGGATCAGGCAAGAGGGTGGTGGACGGGCATGGGTATGGGTACCTCTGCGGTTCAAATTGCTCGAAGGTCTTGCGTTTGGTGTGGTCGCGGATGATTTTGGAGTTGATGAAGCACCCGAGGTCGAGTTTCTTTGCGCGAAACTGCGCCATTGCCGCGGTAGGAGTTGGGGTGTTGGTGAGAAGCGTGCGTTATCAGGATTTGGTTTCGGAGAGTTCGCCTTCGCATTGGGAGTTGAAGGAATCTGAATCTGTGCAGCTACGGCGTGTCCTTTGTCCTGATTGGCGGATTCAGCAGGTCACGAGTTGCACGCCGAGCACCATCTTTTCAAATGACAGTCAGGCATGTCATTTCCTGACGAGATGGGAATTGTGACGATTGACCTTCATGCAGCTCGTTTCCGTGTCTCCCTGAAACAGGTCCAAAGAGGGTTGCACGCCTATCACTTAATTACGTGACTCATTCGCTCGACTCATCTGCTCAATCGCCTCAGCTCTGAATATCTTGAACAGGGCAGCAGGGATTCATTCCACCCTGCCGTCGAGCACACGAATAAGCTCTCCAATTGCGCAATACAAGCATCTCAGTGACTCACGCACGTTGCATGCTCAAAGTTTCGCGGTTGACACACCGAAGCTTCGCGCACGGCCTCGACCTCAGTTTGCCTCCAGCCTCAGTTGCAAAGGCTAGATGCATTGCGCCTCGCACAAAGGGGGACAATGTGAGAGCATACCATATAAAGTCGCAACTGATCATCTCTGCAGGGCGAAAAAGATCTTTCTGCTCTCAGTGCAACTGCTCCTTTCTTCTCGAGCCCCCTCTTGAGTTGTTGACTTAGTATGCCCAAACCTTCGAAATCAAGCACACCGGCGGCCTCATTGCAGGATGGAACTATAGTCGTCACTAGCCAGCAAAGCCGTTTCCATGTAGATGCCTTGGATGCACCAACATCAAAGGATATTGATGTCAAGGATCTCACGCTGTCCGTGGGAGGTCAAGAATTGCTGGATCACGCCCATCTGCGAGTCGTTGAGGGTGTGCACTACGTCCTCGCTGGGCGCAATGGAACTGGGAAAAGTTCGCTGCTCCGAGCGCTGGCAGAACGACGAGTGCCTGGTGTTCCGCGCAACCTGCGTCTGCTCTTGCTAGGCCAGACGCGCGTCAGTTCTGATGTAGAGGCGGAAACTGGTGAAAGGGAGAGCGATACCGTCAAGGTGCTTGAACACGTCACAAGAAGTGATCGACGCAGAGAGAGGGCTCTCGCAGATGCTAATCGCACGTCGTCTTTCGCTGCTGTGGAGGCAACTTTCTAACAACAATCTAGGCCTTGCCGCGGCTCTGGAAGACAAAGCTCATTCCAGCAAGATTGTGACGACCGTGCGCTCGCTTCAACTTGCTCAAGCGAAGCAAGAACTGGCCGAAGCTCAACTCATAGCGGCACGACGGAGTGGTGCTCGAGGCCTCAAAGCACGTCAAATGCTCATAGAAAAGGAGAAGGAAGTCGAGGAAGCGCAGAAACGGTAAGTTTTCTTCCTGTGTCCTCAGTGGTGGGGTCCATTGACTTGTGGCGGTGATGAACAAGATATGACGATGGCGCGATCGTAGAAGACGAGGAAGAGGTCACGAGAATTGGACTTGATATGTTGGAAGCGACACGATCTGCACTTGAAGCCATGGACGCTGGCAGCACTGAGGCTCGAGCCCGAACGATACTTCTCGGCCTGCGTTTCTCCGAGGAACAGATTGAGAAACCCGTCAAATCATTGTCCGGGGGATGGCAAACGCGCTGTGACCTCGCATGTGCTTTGATTCAGAAGACAGATATCCTCATGCTCGACGAGCCTACGAATTTCCTTGACCTGCCGGCCATCATTTGGCTCGAAAGATACATTACAAAGTCGCTCGATGGGACCACTGTGATCATTGTCACGCACGACCGCGATTTTGCTGATGCAATTGCTCACGAGGTGCTCCTTGTCCGACTCGCTCCCGCCAAAACGCTGGAGGTCTTCAAGGGCAACTTGACAGAGTATGAAACCGAGAAACGACGACAAATCCGCCGCATGACCAAAATGGCTGAGGCTCAAGAGAAACAGACTGAACACATGAAGGAGACCATAGCCAAGAACGTCAAGGCTGCCAAACGGACGGGAGATGACAAGAAATTGAAGCAAGCTGCCTCGCGACGAAAGAAATTGGAGGAGCGTACCGGGCTCGAGGTTGGCCAACGAGGTGGTAGATTCAAGCTCAATCGAGATCTTGCGGGGTGGCACACCTCGGTGCGCGATGGCATCGAAATTCCAGAGTTTGACCCGCCTGTTTCGATAACGTTGCCGGAGCAGCCAGCACCGTTGCGACATTCGGGACCTCTGTTTAGCTTCGACAAAGTGTCATTCACCTACCCAAAATCGGGCGTATGGACTTTGAGAGATATCGATTTGGTCATGCATCCTGGTGAACGCGTCGGATTGGCAGGTCTGAATGGAAGTGGAAAGTCCACCTTGGTCAAGCTCTTGATGGGAGCAGCCACGGGAGGCGACCCGAGACCGACCAAAGGCTCGATAACAGCGCATTCCAAAGCTAGATTCGGCTGCTATTCGCAACATGCTGTCGAAGAGCTAGAAAGAGTCGGGAGGCAGAATGGGCAGACGACGGCTTTATCTCACTTGATGGGACTCCCTAACTGGATGGGAGATGAGCAGGCAGCTCGGAGTACATTGGCAAAGCTAGGTCTCCGAGGGAATACAGTGACAGACATTCCTCTCGCGGCTCTATCTGGAGGCCAACGGGTGCGTGTGGCATTGGCAGAGGTGTTTTTCAACTCTCCTCACCTCCTCATCCTGGACGAAGTGACGACGCATCTGGACGCGGACACGATTGACGCACTGATCGAGGCACTGAAGTACTGGGAGGGTGCGCTTCTTGTCATCACTCACGACCGCCATTTTATGCGATGTGTGGTGGATCGGGAGAAGCCCGTAGGAATAGAGGGGGAGGAAGAAAGCAGCCAAGAGTCGGATTCCGATGCAGGTACCCCAGGGACAGTATACCACGTGCGTAAGGCAGGGCTTCGAAGACTGGAAAGGGGAATGCAGCAATACGAAGAGATTGTTGGTCGAACAGTGGACAAGCTTGGGATTTAGGGGGAATGGCGGACTTGTCCTGGTACTCTGAGAGATGGAGGAGAAGCCTAGCAATACACTATTGCTATTTTCTCGATCTCGGGTACTTGAAGGTACTTGTTGCATGACGTTACATGTCGTTACATGTTCTTGTGTCTGGTTCGGCTCCTACGGGAGTATGTCCCTTGTACACACATACAAGAATAGATAGTAACTGAAGGGATCGGGATCGGTGGAATCTTTACAGACCAACCCTGGACATGTGGTTCGGTTACAGCAACAAGTTTCCTTTACCGGCTGGCTGCCGGTGGAGGATGATGGAGTTGGTCCCTTGTTGCCTTGTATCCTTGTACGTGTTATGCAGTCTTCGAGTAGGACGACATGCTAGACTGACACGTGCAGCCTCAGCGCCTCTTCAATTGGTGAAACCTTGGCAGCCCGTGGCAGGGAATCATTGCCATCATTGGCATCAATTCATCCACTTCATCCACTTCACATCTTCCTCGAAGCTTCACTTGCTTCTGCCTTCAACTGTCGATGCTATTGGTCTGTAACCAGCATTTTCTCGATCAAGCTCTCCAACAGCTCGGGAGAGCTCCAAGCTTGGCCCAACTGCTACTCATGTCTGAGCAAAAACGTTCAACGTGGCGGCGATAAAAAGGCTGAGCATCCTGGGAGAAAGCCTTTACCTCCCTCTGCTTGGTTTGCCAGAGACTCTCACGGTAGGTTGAGATAGTTTATTCTGCTTGATTCATATCTGTCACCAGCTCTGCCCACGATGCTGTGTCGCTGTATGTCGCTGGCTCTGGCATTGCCTTTGCTCTCCTGTCCCCTCGCATATGCCGAAGGCTCCAGTTCTCAACTCCTGGCTTATACTGTC